GTTCGAAAGCAAGAAATTGCAAGTAGATAAATAGGTACCACTTCGGTGGGAAGGTAACAGCATTCCGTGCGCCTTGGTGTTTAGTCATGCCGGCCACATGACCACGGAAACGTCTTCGGACAGCGCTGGCTCTTTGGCTTTGAAACGGAGATGAGCACCGCAACCCTAGAGTCGGATTCGACTGGCTTTCGAGCAAGGGAACCTTTACCTTTACCTTTACGGGGTTTACCACTCCCAACTAAGTGCTTGCTGAAATGCATTATGGAAGAGCACAAGGACACCATCAAACTGGGCCACCATTCTCCTATCCTTACCTGCTGAGTTTGACAGCCTCTGTTTTCCATAATCCCAGCAAATCTGATAGTTTATCCTAGCCCTAATAAATAGCCTAGGCTAGACTCATCAGATCTTGGAAGCTAAGCAGGACCAGCCCTGGTTAGCATTTGGATGGGAGGCCACCAGGTAAGCCCAGGGTCACTTTGTGGGGGCAGGCAGTGGCAAACTGCCTCTGTTAGTCTCTTGCCTTGAGAACTCTATGTAAATTGACCGCACTTCACACACACACAGTGAACTAACAGGGTAGCAGGCTACTTTTGTCTTGGGAACTCACAAGCTGTGCTAGAGGCAGCCCACTGCTGCAGCAGGCATGCATTGATCTATTGATGATTGATCTATTAGGCATCTTTCCTCTGGAGGCTGGAACATGTGTATTTGAGGTGGAACCCAGAGAAGCATCAGCAATTGCCAGGGGGCTGCGAATTAATCTTTGTTCAATATCCTGAGCAGTTACACCCAGGCTAGCCCAATCTTGTCAGATCTCGGAAGCTAAGCAGGGTTGGACTTGGCTAGTATGTGGAAGGGTGACCTCCAAGGAATACCAGGGTCCTAATGCAGAGGCAGTCAATGGCGAACCACCTCTGAAACGTCTCTTGCCTTAAAAACAAAGTCTAGCTCACCACCTAGTGGTGCATAACGCTAAAAACTAGAACTTCAGCCTGCCAGACAATCTTAGGATCTCCTGGCTATACTACACATGATACCATATGATGATAATAATAATAACACCCAGGTACTGCCCCCAAGTCTCCCAAGAATTTCCCAAACCAGAGCTGGCAACCATATTCTGAGCCCACTGACTTCCATGGATTTATAAGGGTGTAATTCTCTTTGTAGTGGCTTGCATAGCCCAAACTTGGAAGTTAAGCTGGGTTGGCCATGGTCAATACTTGGATGGTAGACCACCAAAGAAGACCATGGTTGCTGTGCAGAGGAAGGTAATGCTCGTCTCTTGCCTTGAGGGGTCACCATCACCAAACATTGGCTGCGACTTGATGGCTCTTTGTTATTTAATTCTGTTTAGCACTGCAGTTTCAGACTATCAGTTTGTATCTTGAATACAATATGGGTTGTGATCGGTTCCCTTGCCCTTATTATTGGGTAATGTGTGGCAGTGAATCTGTGACTAATGCAGTTCTAAACAGAGTTATACCTTCCTTAAATCCACTGATTTCAGTGGACTTAGAAAGGTGAAGCTCTGTTTAGAACTACACTGATAATTTGTTAGAGCTCGCCTCAGGTGACCAGATGGAAAAGATCACAGGGTTCTTTTTCCTTTACTTGTAATAGTTGCACTGGCACAGAAAATGGAACTTCTGGTAGACATTGAGAAAAGTGGGGCTTGCAGAAATTTCTTCTTTTTGGTCACTCTGTACAAGCTGGACTCCAACCATTGGTTGAGCTCCTGACATGATGTCACAGAGGTCTCATAAGTATTCACACATGAAAAGGAATGTTCTGGCATTAGAGAGCAGAGATATGGTTCAGATTTGATAAGACACGAAAGGTAAACTTGGAAGGATAAAACAATTCACGGACAGGCACACAGAGAGGAAGAAGCCATCTGTTCTCAGCAGAAAATGGGACAGGTAGGGGTTTGGTGCTAGAAAGCTAAGTTGGAAGAAGACCCAGGAAGTATGTATGTATGTATTTATTTATATTTATAAATTGCCTAATCCCCACGACTGTGGGGCTCTAGGCAATGTACAGATTAAAAGCCATAAAACCATAACCAGGCAATATAATTCATTAATTAATTGGAATCAAGTGGCAAGTTTCGTGGTTCCCTCCCATTTCTGGCCTGTGGGTGCTTCCTGGACGCAGGGGGAGGGAATAAACTCCAGAAGGGATAGGAATCCAGGAGGGGTGCCAGCCATGTAGTGAGCCGTCGCTGTCCTCAGCTAAACACCTGGCGGAACATCTCTGCGTACAGGCCCTGCGGAATTGCATAAGATCCCACAGGGTCCTTGTAGTGTATCCAGTCCAGACTAGTCCAGAGACAAATGTCGAGCTTCGCTCCAAGAGACAATGGACTATGCGGATCCTAGCCTGCTCCAATCAGGGGGCTAGGTTCCCGGCTGAGAGCCTATGGGACTCTCGGCCACTGTAAATAACCTATAGGGAAGTAGGGGTGTGTTTTGGGTGGCGGTTTCTCGGGGGATATAAGCCGGCCTGCGAGCCGGCCAAAGTCGTCTTGTTCTGGATAGAATAAAGTACGCTTTGCTGAAATCACTCTCCGTTTGCGTACTTTTCAGTCCTGATGTTATTGGGCAGAGAGTTCCACTAGGTCGGGGCCAAGGCTGAGAAGGCCCCAGCCATGGATGAGGACAGCTGGATGTCTGTGGGACTGGGGACCACCAGCGGATTCTTGTTCTGTGAAGAGCGCAATTTTCTCCCGAGGGTATACCTAGGGTTGCCAACCCCCCCCGGTTTGCCAGGGGTCCCCCGTTTTTTGGGGGGTTCTACCCGCCGCTGGCCAGATGGCCGGCGGGGGGAACCCCACCCCCAACACCCACAGCCACCCATCTCTCTCCCTTTAAGTGTGTGCAACCCGTGTTTCATCCCAAGCGCGAACCCCCCAAGCTTGCAGGGAAATGCCAGCTTCATTCTTAAAAGGGAAACACAGCTGCTCTTAAAGGGGAAACGCCGGCTGCTGGCTACTTTAAGTGCAGGGAACTGCCGTTTCTGGAGATCCGGTGCATGGGCAGGTGGGGGGGGGGCGGCAGACGTCCCCAACATGACGTCATCATGTTGGGGATGCCCCACCCCTCCAGGAACGCCCCCAAAGTCCCCCGATGGACTTGGCAACCCTAGGTATACCAGAGGAAGTGGTCCTGCAAAGACGCTGGTCCCAGACTGCTCAAGGCCTTAAGGTCAAAACCAAAAACTTGAACTTGATAAAGGGCAGGGAGTTCATTCAAGGGGTATTTGTCAAACAGAAACTTGATCAGAAGATAAGTGGAGAAAACAGGAAGTTGAGGCATGGAAAGCCTGCAGAAAGAGTTATGGCAAAATCTCACACTAGGCCTAAGGACATTGTGACTATATAAAAATAACGAGACTGAAACATAAGCCTTTGAAGAAGAACCAGGAAGTGGTTTATAAGAGTACACTTTGCAAGTGGTTTCCTTTTTCAAAACTGTACAGTTTATTATAGCTCATGTGCTCCGTGCTAGAAGACATACTTCTTATTCACCACTGTGTTAATTTACCGAAGACTTTGAATCACCTTGACTGGGCTAGGATCTTTTCAAAATAATGTATTTCTTTTCTGCTTTTCTCCCCAATGAAAGAAGTTGTAGGAAATGATGATCACTGCTATGACGAAGCTTCTGGTTTAACCAAATCCAGCCAACCCCTTCCCCCCCCCTGCCAGCACCCCTCCACTTCTATGTCTCTGCCCAACTTCAGGTTAGTTCTCTTTGTGGATGAAGAAGGCTGGAGAGAAATTTCAGGCCACTAAGGTCCTTTTCTAGCCCTTTTTGCTAAGCCCTTCGTGAAGGAATCGACTTGCAAGCCCCATTCCCTTGAATCCCAGAATGTCAGAAAAGCCCTGTGGCCGTCCTACGCCTATGCTTGGCACCGTTTCTCTTACTCGGGGGTGGGGGGTGGGGGTAGTACACATGTGGTAGTAACCGCTGCCACCAACAAATGGGAAAAGGCAGCTCCTGCTAGACAGATTTGCACATCTAGCATTCTGTTTCTGTGTTGACACTTAAAGGCTCTGCCCAGTTGTGGAAGACTCCCAGTTGCGGAGTCTTCTGCTTCACTGGTACTAGCTAGCGCGGGGATGATCTGTTGTG